AGAGAGAGAGAGAGAGAGCGAGAGAGAGGAGAAAGTGAAAGAGAGATAGAGAGAAAGACAGACAGACGGAGAGAGAGAGAGAAAGCGAGAGCGCGCAGCGAATTACACACGAGATAAGAAAAAATCACGGCGCGATAATCGTGTATCTCTATAAGCGTAGGTGCGTGCACGTGATCACGCGACACGGCAAGGGAGTTGCTAGCGGCGAGGGGGCACGTGTACGCGTCCGGCGATTCTCTTTCTCACAGCCCAGCCACCTGATGAGCGTGAGCAGGAACAATACCTGCGCTACCTTTAACAATCGCCTGCCAGCTCGTCTGCTTTAAGCTGTCAATCCGAGGTTACCTGCACACGCACACACATACACGCACACGCATGCGAGCGCACACGCACGCGCGCTCCCACACAGACACGTACACACGCACGCGCGCACACACACAGACACGTATACACACGCGCGCACGCACGCACGCACGCACGCACGCACGCACACACACACACACACACACACACACACGCACGCACGCACGCACACATACACACGCACGCACGCACGCACACACACACACACACACACACACACACACACACGCACACACACATACACACGCGCGCATACTCCACAGGCACTTGAAGCGTTTCAATAAAATATAATGCTAAACAAATACGAAATCTATTTACTAGCAAAGTCTTAATGTTTCTATACTCTCTTTCACCTATTAAATTATTGCCGACAATTTCCTGTAAATGCCGTCCAAATGCTCATCTACAACAAACACTGGCTGCCGCCAAGCGCCATTGCTGCCGCTGCAGTGCTGCACACTGACACTTATATATGTGCTGTTATATATATACATGTATATAATATTATAGATATTATATATATAAGTGTCCGTGTGCAGCACTGCAGCGGCAGCAATGGCGCTTGGCGGCAGCCAGTGTTTGTTGTAGATGAGCATTTGGACGGGATTTACAGGAAATTGCCGGCAATAGTATTAATAGGTGAAAGAGAGTACATAGAAACATTAAGACTTTGGTAGTAAATAGATTTCGTATTTATTTAGCATTATATTTTATTGAAACGCTTCAAGTGCCTGTGGCACACTCATACACATAACTCGCGGATGGTACAGCGCCCGCTCTGATGTATACTAGTTTCCGCAAACCTCTGGCGGCGAAGGACAGAAGACACACGAATTACGGCCATGCCAGGAAGAGACAATGCGCTTCTAATTAGACACAATGGCGCAAATACGTCACAATGGCAAATTGCCGCGCACGGGGAGGGAGAGAGAATCACGTGGAACTGACAATGATGGAACGCACCTACTGGGAGTGTGTAGCGTAGGTGCGGGCATGGTGAGAGACAGAGATAATTAGTATGCACGCGAAGGGCCGAGGGCGAGGGAAAGATACTGCTGGCGCGTCCTTTACAACACATCGATGACTCGTACGAAGCGAAGAGGAGTTCACCGCGAGTTCACCAGAATGTTACACGGACACCGAATTATGATGCACCTCAAGATTTGTCCAGATATCAGCGAGAACGTATAGACTTCTCGCACTAATGCTCCCACCTCACCACTCCCTCCTTTAGCGAGCCTACATATTTACGCGACCGAGCGAGAAGTGAGCAAATTTGGCGGTCGTAAACAACTATTCCCGAAGATTTTAGCGCCTCCCGTTGCGCTTCGCATTGTCCACCATAAATGGCATTGCGTTGACCGTGGTGGAAAACGCTGACCAGCAGGCGATGGCTATCACCGGCCACGCACAAACCACATCCGCACCTCGACTAAACGCCCACCGTTTTGTATTGCTTAACCAGGGCTACTTACGGGCCACGCTTGGCCGAGAGAGAAAAAAACACGGAAAGAACGAGCGCGAAGGCTACGTCGTTGGTAATTGTAGCCAGTATGTGAGCGACGTACCCTCGGGCTATGGCAAACTCTATATGGTCACGGCGCGCAATAGAAAGATTGACGGTTCGACTGCGAGACTCAAGGTCCCCGCACGAGGAGAGCCACGAATCTACGAGCACACGACCACGCACGCACTAGTGTAAAACTCTTGCGTGTGTCACGCGCGTATATAAAACTATATAGATGGGCGTAGAGGTTTACAGCACAGAGAGGTTTTACAGCACAGTTATGCGCGGTTGTAACACAGCTGACCCATTGCTTTAGACAAAAACGTAAATTGGAAACCTTAAATGTAGTTTTACATTAATGTACAGACTTGTAAGTATGGTAATGAAGCAGGATGACAGTCAGCTGCACCGATGACGTTATAATTTTTGACAATATCTGGCACGAAATTCGCAACAAGTTCGCAACCACATTGCACGGAAGTGTTAGAACCATATTACACAAGGGTAGGGACCCGCTTTATCGTCTGAATAGCTATTATTTTGCTCCATCAATGGAACCTTTAAATCTCTATTATTTTGTTCCATCGATGGAACCTTTAAATCTCTATTATTTTGTTCCATCGCTGGAACTTTTGAATCTCGATTCTTTTGCTTCGTCGATGGAAGCTTTGTAGTTGATATTGACCTAATTTCATCTGATTTTGGATTAACCTGGTTGTCGCCAGTGCAGCAACTGCTACTGACACCATTTAACTTAATGTGTAGCACCTTGTCCGGCGGACAGATGCGTATTACCGTGCCGTTCGCGTCCGGCCGCCAGTCACCCTCGGAATACCCACTCTCGTCGCTGATGTTGTCGTCATCGTCGTCGTCGTCGTCGCCCGGCTCCGGCGACGACGACGATTCTCCCAGGAGCAAACACTTCACGCTCTCGTCCTCCTTGAAAGAGTCGATGTCATTTCCGCACTCCATGACGACGTCGGCGCTGCCCAGACTTCCGGTGAGGCTGACGGTGTCGACGTCGCGGCGTTGCTGCTCCTCCGTCACGTACTTCTCCAGACTCAGATGTCGCGTGATGGGCTTCCGCCTGCGGCGTGGCGGAGGCACGGGGCGAGGGTCTACGCGCGTGAAGCATTCCTCGTCGGCGATTTGGCTCTCTGCCAATAGTTCTGCCACGTCGGTTTCCGTCGAGCTACCCGTGCCGCTGTCTCTACACGTGTCCACGTCGCTGGCGTCGACCGCCGGAGAGCTGACGTCGGCACTCTCTTCTCCTGTCGCTGATAGGTCGCCCTCTACCGTCGCTGATAGGTCGCCTTCTACCTCTGGCAATTGCTGTCCCTCTACCGCTGGCAGTAGATATCCCTCTACCGCTAGCAATTTTTCTGCCTCTACTGCTGGCAATGTCTGTCTCTCTACCACTGGCAAATGTTCTGCCTCTACCGCTGGCAATAGCTGTCCCTCTACTGCTGGCAATGGATGTCCCTCTACTGCTGGCAATGGATGTCCCTCTACCGCTGGCAATAGATGTCCGTCTACCGCAAGTAATTTTTCTGCCTCTACCGCTAGCAATAGCTGTCCCTCTACCGCTGGCAATTTTTCTGCCTCTACCACTGGCAATAGATGTCCCTCTACCGCTGGCAATTTGTTTTCCTCTACCGCTGGCAATAGCTGTCCCTCTACTGCTGGCAATTTTTCTGCCTTTACTGCTGGCAATGTCTGTCTCTCTATCACTGGCAATTTTTCTGCCTCTACCGCTGGCAATGTCTGTCTCTCTATCGCCGCTGAAGGCAGACTACCATTGCCCAAGACAGCGTCCAAAAATACGTCATCGTCATCGTCGTCGCCTTCTTCGGCTTCCTCTAGCAGCGCCTCCTGTAGACGCATGTGGGCGAGGCGGTGGTTGAGCTGCTGGAAGGTGGTGCTACCGTTCTCCAGACAATGCTCGTCCTCTTCTAGCGGCGTCTCGTCGATGCTCTTCAGTCGCGGAGCGCTGCGCGACTTCTCGATCGGAGGCTTGAAGTTTTTCGCCGCGCTCAGAATCTGCTTTCGTCGCGGCACGGTGGCGACAAAACCCACCTTTGAATTCAGCAGCAGCCGGTAGTTCTGTCGGCGCAATTTCTCGAGCATGAATTCCTTCAGCGCGGCGGTCGTCGCCTCGTGTAGCTGCACGGTGAGAGCTTTGGCGATGGCTTCCTTCTTGCAGAGAACGGCGTGGCATCGAAGCTCCACCTTCATCTTCTTGCCCTCGTGTCGGTAGATCCAGCAGAAGAGGCGCGGAAAGCGCGGATGCGTGATGCAGTAGGTAATGCGATGCGACCAGTAGTGAGTGACTCCCTGCTCCTTCGTCACTCCCTCCATGCCGGAGGTGCACACGGACAACTTCATCTTCGCTCCGGCGCCCTTCTTCTCGTAGTTCTTCCAGAGAATTTTCAGCGGCTTGTCGGTGCAGTTGTCGCCCTTGGCCATCACCGTCTGCACGTTGCCGAGATACAGCACCTTGTAGGTCGGGTGACATTCGGTAACCTCGAATGACCCCCGCGTCTTGAAGATCGTCGGTAGATTCATGCTGGCGTCGTCGTTTCACAGCCGTGTCGCCGCTGTTAACGTGAACGTGAACGCCACGACCCCGCTTGTCATGTACGCGCACACGGAGAGTATCCAGAGATGCGATAACTAACGAACTTTACACGGGTACACGCCGTTGTATCGGTATCGCGTCTGTTTTCATTGAAGAACACGGTGTAGTAGATCGGATCACGGCCTACGAGACACGGCACCGTGTCGACCGGCATCCATTTTGACTGATGCTTGCTTGTCTGTTCGTCGTACGTGTATGTGTACGCGTGTGTGTGTCGAAACTTACGCCGTATAACTGACACGCCTTCTGATTGGTCGCAGGGAACGGATAGAGGGTGAAATCAGCGGAGAATGGAGCGGCCGACGTGCATACCTGTGCGAGAGATCAGCGCAGCCAGGTGTGTCGCTGCACCGCTGGAACGTACCATCTTCAAACCTGACAGGGGAGGCAGGCGGCGGCGGCGTTCGCGCGCAGGGGGAGGGGGTGAACGCACGGACGAATACAGGTCCCGGTCTGATCGGATTTTAATTTCATTCACGCCGCATTTAAAAGAAATTAGACGATTGCTTTCACGTTGCTATAAGCGCAACCGATTATCCGATTATCCGATTATCGTTATCCGATTTATCGTATTTTCCCGTATTAAAAGCGTAATTATTTCCGGATCTTAATGCGCAGCAGCGTGCATTCAATCAGGACGTGTGACTGACAGCGAGTGAACTTATACGTTCATCGCGGGGAACAACGTTGCAGACCACACGTGCATTATTGCTAGAGGGGCACGACTTATAACTCACGCTTAGTGGAGCGAGTAAATCACGCAAATTCATCTATTGAAGAACACACACACACACGCGCGCGCGCGCACACACACACACACACACACACACACACACGCACGCACGCACGCACACACACACGCACGCACGCACGCACACACACAC